CCATTAAATCCATCAGGGCCTAGAGCCCGATCCGCAGGCATTTCTTTGATGACTAGATCAATCTCCTGCCTAGTAAATGGCATAGTTAGGTCATCCAGCCCCTCAATTCTCTTGATAATGGAGGGAAGATCAAATTTCATCTCATGCTTAGAGGAGGTTCCAAGTCTTTCTTTAAAAGAGTGATAAATGACAGATTCTTTGCTTGCGTGATCATCAATTATTGTTCCATTATGTAGAGTTAATGAGGCAATATTGTTCCTCCTGTAGCGTTCGGAGGCCATAGCTTGGAAAAATTTGGAGTTTTCATCCCCAAAACGAACCCATCGAATTGTGCACCATTTCTTCCAATATTGCTGTTGATATGACAAGAGTCGTAGGATGTGGGCTTTTAGGATAATCCTAAAATTAGCCTCGGGAATTGTCAAAGGCCTTCTGTTCTCCAGCGTGTCCAGGTCAGCTAGAGCCTTGTTGGAGTTAGTAATGGCTATAGATAATCGGGAAATGTTCTTGCTCCAATTTTTGAGGCAGTATCGCAAGTGCTTGAATTTTCTACAAAGAATGGTTGCACTATTGGTCGATCGGACGGGCTTATCCCAAGAAGACTGCACAACCTCCATAAAACCAGGGTGTTGAATCCAGAAAGGCTCAAATCGAAAAAGCTTACTTCTAGGAATAGAAGTTTCAATGGAGACCACGCACGGTATATGATCAGACACAGGCTTGCATTGATAGCATTAGAAAGTGCTAATTGTTTATCACCAGAGTTTAACCCACGAATGTTCCAACATAACATATTCCAATTGACCAAAAGACCCATAAAGCTAATAAACCAGCAAATTAAGCCGAGGACGAAGACCCTGCCTCCTTGGACTCCAAGAGAGCAGCTTCAGTAAGTTCTTCTGGCGGGATGGTGCATTTTTGGACACCCACCTGCTGAATTACCTGAATGGGAGTAGGAGGTGGTCTTTCCTGGGCTGCCTCAGCGTCCAGCTCCCTGATGATCACCGAGGAGGGAGCAGTAGGAGTGTGGTGTGGTTTGACCTTTGATTGCTTCTTCTTGGTATCGCACAGAGCATGGACCTGAAATCCATCATATTTATTGGATCTAGCGCTGCGATGAAGAGAGACTTCACATTCAGGTGCCTGCACTTTTCCACGATGAGAGGAAGCGCCTCCATCAGGCAGAACAACATCAGAAGGAGGCATAAGCAAAGAGCTAGAGTTTCCCTGGAGCAGAGCCATGGAGGGATCAGTCGGAGCCGCGGCAGGAGCAGACCAGGAATGCACCATAGATATGCAGTCCTCATTATCCCTAGTGATCTGATGCCCAGCAGTAATCAAGATAGAATCATTGTTGCTGCTAACTTGAACATGAACTTTCAAGCAATCCCTAAAACCCAGCCCCGAGCTCCATGGGCCAAAAGTGGCCAGAACGGGCTTAATGGCAGTCCACAGAAAGTCATTGATCTGTCACACCGGCCTAGCTGAGTGGAAGAGCATAGAAGCCATCAAGTTCCCATGGTGTGACATGGTGAAGTGCAGACCAGAGTTATTCAGACAAAGATCAATTGTGAGAGAATCTTGCTGCTGTATTATAGGAACCAAGGAGATACTGGCAGGGCTATCAAAGTTACTTCTCGAGAGATTATTCAGAACATTGACAGGCACAAGAACAAACCCATCAGAACTGACAGAAGACTCAGAGCTGTTGTGCCAAGATATGGAGTCATTCCAAGCCATTGCAGGGCTGTCTAGCAGATTGTTTTCAGGTAAAATTCCATCAGAAACCTGAAGACCTTCAGCAGCCAACCATGCCTGAAAATTGTTCACAGCAGGAGGTGGAGGAGCTGGCCAGGCACCCCATTGCGCCTGAAACTGAACCTGATGGTCCACCTGCACATTGTCATTGGCCTGATTAGCCTGATGCATAGCATGATCAGCAGCTACATTCTGAGCCATCCAGTTGTGCAGCTGGGCTTGGTAAATTTGCTCAGCAGTCAGCCCTTCACCAAACAGAGGATGTGGAACACCATCATCAGGAGGTGGATTTTCCCCAGCAGGTGGAACTTCAGGTAAGTGTGCATTCCAATCACTACTACGTAACATAGTTACAGCAACTGTCCAGCAGTGCCTAGCACCCCCAATCTGCCTCATCACAATGCTCTTAGGGACCAATCTAAGATGAATGACCCTGGCCTTCAGGAGCACAAAACGCCTGTCACTCCTGGGATTATGCCATTCAAGTAAAGTACCAAAAGTATCCACAGACTTATGCATGTAATGCTGGGTTTAATCTACACTTCTACACTACTATTAAACAAGAGAACATGTTCAGGGCGAACGAAAACTCTGCCGTTCCGACGCCCGCACGAGTGAAACAATCGCCCTTGATTCCGCTCGCAGCTCCTAATTTTCAGGCCGATTCCAACTGAATCGTGCCTCCCCGATCCTTCTTTCTCTCCCAGATCGAGGAAAACAGCGCCGCCTCCTCCCTTCCCCCACAATGACGCAACCCCCAATCCTCAGCCGAACTGCCCCGTGACAACCTCCCGGGCACTCTCCCCGCCGCCCGCACAACGCCCTCATCGGCGCTCTTTTCGCTAGAGCGGCCCGGAGCGGCGTGCACAGGAAGCCGGAGCAGGGAAGGAGTGCGGCCACCGCCGGGAGACAAGGGGAGGCGTGGTCGCGCTCTTTTGGGTCGGCCATGGAGGCCACACGCAAGCCCGTGGCGTGGCGGCGCCCGCTCCGCCTCGCCTCTCCGGCCGCATCCAAAGGACGAAGTGGGCGCATGTGTGGCGGCTGCCGGCGAATGAGGCCGCACGCGAGCCCGCGGCGCGGCAGCGTGGATCCCTCTTCCCCCTGCCGGTTTGAAATCCGCACCGTCCCCGGCAAGGTAACTGCTCTCCTCCGGTTAGGCCCTGGCCTGGGCATGTGCAGCCGGTGCGAGCAATCACCGAGCCATCAGTGATTCATTGATCCCTATGATTCACTCCCTAATTTGCATTGGTCAGGTAAAGATCCTCCTCTATAAGCGATGTAGGTTGCTTTGCTTTGTATCCGATCTAATTTGTGCTTTACTTCTTTTTGGGCTGTAGTAATTCTCCATATGCTCCACTTGAGAGAGCAAGAGAAGGTTACTCTACTCCATTATGTACTAATTCCGGCAATCAAGGTCAATACATGTTACATCAATCAGGGTCAGTAATTGTATCTACACTACTATTAAACAAGAGAACATGTTCAGGGCGAACGAAAACTCTGCCGTTCCGACGCCCGCACGAGTGAAACAATCGCCCTTGATTCCGCTTGCAGCTCCTAATTTTCAGGCCGATTCCAACTGAATCGTGCCTCCCCGATCCTTCTTTCTCTCCCCAGATCGAGGAAAACAGCGCCGCCTCCTCCCTTCCCCCACAATGACGCAACCCCCAATCGTCAGCCGAACTGCCCCGTGACAACCTCCCGGGCACTCTCCCCGCCGCCCGCACAATGCCCTCATCGGCGCTCTTTTCGTCAGAGCGGCCTGGAGCGGCGTGCACAGGAAGCCGGAGCAGGGAAGGAGTGCGGCCACCGCCGGGAGACAAGGGGAGGCGTGCTCGCGCTCTTTTGGGTCGGCCATGGAGGCCGCACGCAAGCCCGCGGCGTGGCGGCGCCCGCTCCGCCTCGCCTCTCCGGCCGCATCCAAAGGACGAAGTGGGCGCATGTGTGGCTGCTGCCAGCGAATGAGGCCGCACGCGAGCCCGCGGTGCGGCGGCGCGGATCCCTCTTCCCCCTGCCGGTTTGAAATCCGCACCGTCCCCGACAAGGTAACTGCTCTCCTCCGGTTAGGCCCTGGCCTGGGCATGTGCAGCCGGTGCGAGCAATCACCGAGCCATTAGTGATTCGTTGATCCCTATGATTCACTCCCTAATTTGCATTGGTCAGGTAAAGATCCTCCTCTATAAGCGAAGTAGGTTGCTTTGCTTTGTATCCGATCTAATTTGTGCTTTACTTCTTTTTGGGCTGTAGTAATTCTCCATATGCTCCACTTGAGAGAGCAAGAGAAGGTTACTCTACTCCATTATGTACTAATTCCGGCAATCAAGGTCAATACATGTTACATCAATCAAGGTCAGTAATTGTATCTACACTACTATTAAACAAGAGAACATGTTCAGCGCGAACGAAAACTCTGCCGTTCCGACGCCCGCACGAGTGAAACAATCGCCCTTGATTCCGCTCGCAGCTCCTAATTTTCAGGCCGATTCCAACTGAATCGTGCCTCCCCGATCCTTCTTTCTCTTCCCAGATCGAGGAAAACAGCGCCGCCTCCTCCCTTCCCCCACAATGACGCAACCCCCAATCGTCAGCCGAACTGCCCCGTGACAACCTCCCGGGCACTCTCCCCGCCGCCCGCACAACGCCCTCATCGGCGCTCTTTTCGCCAGAGCGGCCCGGAGCGGCGTGCACAGGAAGCCGGAGCAGGGAAGGAGTGCGGCCACCGCCGGGAGACAAGGGGAGGCGTGGTCGCGCTCTTTTGGGTCGGCCATGGAGGCCGCATGCAAGCCCGCGGCGTGGCGGCGCCCGCTCCGCCTCGCCTCTCCGGCCGCATCCAAAGGACGAAGTGGGCGCATGTGTGGCGGCTGCCGGCGAATGAGGCCGCACGCGAGCCCGCAGCGCGGCGGCGCGGATCCCTCTTCCCCCTGCCGGTTTGAAATCCGCACCGTCCCCGACAAGGTAACTGCTCTCCTCCGGTTAGGCCCTGGCCTGGGCATGTGCAGCCGGTGCGAGCAATCACCGAGCCATCAGTGATTCGTTGATCCCTATGATTCACTCCCTAATTTGCATTGGTCAGGTAAAGATCCTCCTCTATAAGCGAAGTAGGTTGCTTTGCTTTGTATCCGATCTAATTTGTGCTTTACTTCTTTTTGGGCTGTAGTAATTCTCCATATGCTCCACTTGAGAGAGCAAGAGAAGGTTACTCTACTCCATTATGTACTAATTCCGGCAATCAAGGTCAATACATGTTACATCAATCAGGGTCAGTAATTGTACTAATTTCAGAGAAGACCTGTATAGCAGTACTACTCCATCGGCAAGCGTTCAGTGCTGGATTTCTTTCACACCTGTGTAGTGTTGTACCATGGTCGTTCTCCCTCCTCCAGGTTTGATTTTTCAAGTTTCATGCCTTTGTGTTTTAAGATGTCATCCCAAAAGTAATTGTAACATGAAAAACCAAAGAAAGAGAAGATTAACACGTGAGTTTATAAATTCTCAATAGAAAGTCATTGAAGAAAATTTAGGACAAATATAATGTCTAATTGGCACTTGAACCGACAAAGGGCCTCACTTTGTTATCTTGCACAGGGACTCAGCCAAGTCCGGCCTGGCCATGCCTCCGTCCTCCCGCCTTGCCGGCTGCGTGTGTGTGTGCTGTCTATGCTTGACGCTGCATGCTTGTTGGCTTGTCACTGGGTGCTTGTCGCTGCAGGCCTGTTGCAGCAGATGCTGCTTTGCTGTATATATTTGTATAATGCTTGCATCTTGTATGCAGCTATGCTTTATTTTATACTGACATTGTTGTTGCTGCTGTTGACCTGTTGATGTTGTTGCTTACTGCTGCTGTCCTCCTGATGTTGTTGCTGTGCTGGCCAAGGAGTGAGTCCAGAGATACACAACATTCAATTATGAGGGTCTAGGAAATTAATGGTCATTCAGTCATTGATGATATAAAAAGAGGCATGAAGGCAATGAAAGGGGTAGTATTTTGATCTCATGTCATCTCGCACATAGATTATTTGTTCTTCTTTACTTACCATTTTATTAATTATTTATATATACCCACCATACCGCCGTATTATTGTTTCTTGAAATTACCGTATCCCCATTTCCTTATCGCCGTATCCGTAACGCCGGTGCTTCATAGCTATGAAGCACGAGTCTACAATGATCTATTTTCATGTTCTATCAAGAAGTTCCATTTGCAATTTCCTTCTATAAGTTTCATTTATGACAATAATGATCGATCCATGTTCATAGCTATGTACGTGTTTCACTGGTATTACCATTGTTCATAGTGTAAGCATATTAAATAGTTATATGCTTATTGCACTACAAAGTGTAAACTGTTTATTATGTTCCATCATTTGACAGAGCAATGCTAAAGTTCTAAAGTATCAAGTGATTGAATACACTGAAAATGATTACATATGCAAGCTTTGCAAAGTAGAGAACCTCTTTTTTAGTCTCCACCAATTTATTGTTCTCCTTGTGTTGCTTGGATAAAATGAAATGCATACTATACTGCTACTGCTACTGAGACTTGTCACAATTTCTGTATCCTGTGTTACAATGAGACTCACAGTTCAATATTCAGGTGGAAGGTAATCAATTTTCTAAGGATAAACTTCATACTCGAATCTACGTTGTGTAATGTGTGACAAATGTGAATGTTGGCAGTGTCTGATTTGTGCCCTTTTAAATTTCAAATGGGGTGATTCCAAAGAAGCAGATTAAACTTGCCCTAAATGTTGTGTTTGGGAGATCGAGCATGGCTTACGTATGCCTTTGCCACAAAATTATGTTCTTGGGGCTAAAGATCTGCCAAGGGCCATGCTTAGCGATCATATAGAAGAACAACTCTTTAAACGGCTCAATGAAGAGAGACACGAACGGGCTATTCATAATGGGAAAAGTTTTGATGAGGTTAGTGCTGCCTCATCAATTTACAGAATCTTACGTTTATGGATCCTATGTTTTCTTTTTCTTGTTTATATCTTGGTTTCCTTTCCTGAATATGAAATATGTTGTTTGTGTACTTCTTACAAACAGAGATGTGTTGCTCCTTCTGCATACTTTTATTCCTTTTTTTAGAATTTGACTGTATTTAAGTGTTTTTTTGCTAGATCCTTGTTTCATGCACGTGCACTTTTTTTGGGGGAATCGGGAGCTTTTCCGGACTGAATAAGTAGAGTTATAGTCAAGCTGAAGGCTGAAAACGAAGCCATAATTCATATTTATCCAAGCACACCTTTGCCGCTCAGGCGAAGCATTTTTTGCACACAGGTGAGCAGCAACAGTAGCTGGTCTGTGCACAAGCCTAAATTGAAAACTAGAATAAACTCTACTTAGTTGGTTCACTTCCTTCAGGATGGGGGCAATCACTGATCTGTCTTGAGCATCACTGGACCAAAATATATGTACCACCTAGCAACAGATTGATGGTACAAATATATGTACATACATTAGGGTGTATAGCTGGTTGATGTATTTTTTTAATGAGGGTTTGGTTTACGGGTGTGTGCAGTCTGTATAAGACTAGGAGTATTGGATGGTTTTGAGTCGGCACTCGACAGTATGTATTTTGAATGAAGTTTGTGGTATGTATAGGGGTGATAGATTGGATAGGAACTTCTGATCTAATTACTATGGTTGTGGTGAAACCATGTTTTTCTTGAATTATACTCCCTCCGTTCCTAAATATAAGTCTTTCTAGGGATTCCAAGAAGGGACTACATACGGAGCAAAATGAGTGAATTTACACTCTAAAACATGTCTACATACATCCGTATGTAGTTTATAGTAGAATATCTAAAAAGACTTATATTTAGGAACGGAGGGAGTATATTTGGAACTGATCTTAATTTACTAGAGAAATCAATTCCAAAATCCAATAAACTTCTATAATTTCTATAATTTCCAAGAATAGGATTATTGCTGGTTAATCAATTGATTTACATTAATATCTTAAAAGGGGACGACACGCATGTCCTGATGCTAATTTTTTTTTAGAAAGGAAGGGTTTATGTAATTTTGGTAGGATAAAAAATGTAACCTTAGTATTACCTAGAGCTAGGATATGTGAGTAGATTATTTTAATTTTTGAGCTCATATGTGAGATCATGTTTGGAATATCATGTTCCTATAACGGAATCAGTCGTGATAGTGAAGTCTGCACCAGAATGTTGACCACCCTTTTTTGTTTTTTGAGTTAAGGAATTTACAACAAGTCTCTTGCAAAAATAACTATCCTATCCCTTTCTACAATCTCTATATATCTTTGTTAGATAAGGTAAGTATTGTATAATAGTTCGGTTTTCCGTGATTTTTTTCATTCCTCTGTGTAAACAGCCTAATATGAGTTCACAATCAATAACATGCTCACCATCGAGAGTAACGATCAGTCGATATGTTCTCCTAATTCTCTCTCTTATAAACGTGAAGTCCAAATGCCTACTGGCTGCTTTCAGGTGACTGGAATTTTGAGCCTTCAACTTGTCGACATGTGCCTGAGAAGTAGGTTAGATGGAGCTAAGGCTGAGATGGAGGCGGCACTGCCTGCCACAACGTCTCCAAGATGCTGAGCTAGTACCTGGACGGAGGCGGGGACGACACTACTTGTGGTGGCATCCCCAAGATGAAGATCTAGGACCTGGATGGAGGCAGGGACGACACAACTTGTCCCAGCGTCGTCAGCGGAGGACATGCAACAAGTTGCGGGGTTTGGGTGGAGGTGGGTTAGAGGGATGACCGGTGGCAGCAACGGCAACTCGGGCAGACCAGGGCGGCGAGGCTGTAGTGCGGGCGTTCGTGTGCCAGGAAGAAGGTTACAGTCCGTTGGATGCATAATATGGGAGGGCGGAGGGAAAACTGACTGAAGAAAAATCTTTTCGAGCCTGAAATAGTCGCTCTCAATTGTAACCATAGAAGCTTGGCACGTTTTGAAGAACCAGAGTTGCCTGTGTGTTGTAGAGTTTTTTCTTGCAACTTTAAGGCCTTTGTTTGCTCTATCTTGAAGACCTTTGTTCTACACGTCTTACTATGGGCTGTGAAGAAATAGAGTTGTGTGATCTGACATGGTGAAAGAGAAGGTGCTTGTGATGAGATAGAATTGCACTATCTGTCTTTTATCAGGGTCCATAGAGCTAAATCCAAGCCATATATATCTCAGTAGCAATTCAGGTTCAAATACAACACCTTCTCTTCTATCTGTAATTAGCAACGTGGATTAACTATGTGTATCATTACATTGTCTGAATCATCGCATTGTTATAACTAATTTTCTCAACACGTGCGTTGCACGTGCACATCTACTAGTAGTCATAGGGAAATCCAACATACAAGATCCAAATCTCCGGGCCAAAAGTGGTAAGCCTCATGTTAAGCGCAGCATCATGAGGAACAAAAGAAATCACCGTGTGCTCATCAGCTTGCATCTCATCTAGTTCAAAGGTGGTTCCGACGACAGTATCTCTAACGAGGGAGTCATCAAATCCAAAAATACCAATCCCTAGAGGGTGATCCTCAACTTCAGTGGGGAAGAAATGAGACTCATGGAGCAAACCTTGGATGGTATCGCTGAGGGCTTCTTTCTGATGCTGTGGGATGAACCTATTGGCCTTAGCAATAGCCAAGAAGTCGTGGCGCAGGGGAGGCACCGCACTGACCACCATGTCCACTCTCACCTTCCGATCAGCCGGGCCAAGCTCCACCATCATTCCTTGCGGCAGGTAGGGGACGATGTTGATGGGGAAATTCACCGTTGTTGGTGGAGGAGGGAGGAGCAGAGCATGCGCAGAGGAGTGCACGCGCGGCGAGGTGGAATGCGTATCGGCAGGGGGTATGGATTGATTGTGTAGCCAATTTTCTTTGTTGGAGCGCCGCCCCTGGAGACAGGATGATGGCACGTGTCCAAGGCAGCCGCAGATATCGCAATGAACGGCCGAGGATTGCTTGGGACGAGCTGTGAGGCGCAGCGTAGGTAACTGAGGTAAATGCTTGCTAGAGGAAGGAATCCGTGCAGCCCTCGATTTGACTGGACCAAAATCAATTAGCCTCCCGTTTCCCAAGTTGGCCGTGGCAGTGCTGCTAGTAGAAGGTAAGCAAGGTAATGATTCCATCTCAAAAAAGGAGAAATAGGATTCTTGCCTTTGAATGTCTTGTCAAAATGATTTGCTGCTCCAGATAAACGAAGATCAGATTTCTTAGCATTCTTGGGCTTCCAAAAATAGTGCTTGGCCTTAGGATCATAGCAGTTGCGCTTGTTGTGGCCCAAGAAGGAACAAACCTCACATTTTTGACAGGCCGGGCATTGGAAAAAAAGGTGAGTTTGTGATCCACAAATAGTACAGGCCTGCTAGATCAGTTGTGGCCCAGAGCCCACAGCCTTGACGATGGTGGGCTGGACAGGATTCACCGTACTAGCAGGAGTGGGACAGCAACAACTGTCATTAAGACAGACAGAGCAAATCTCTCCTAGACATGCAGAAGCCAGGTGGCCTAGCGAATTACAAGAGGAGCACAAATTGAGCCTCCCATAAATGTAAACCGAGGTAGGGACCGAAGATAGGGACCAAATATTGGCAATATGTGTATCAGAATAACCAAAGTGACGTTGGTCCAAAATATGGAAGAGCATAAAATTCGGAATAGTGCTCCATGCATTCTCCTTAAACCGACAACCTGCAAATCTGTAATTAATAGGCCTTACCCCATTAACCTCATTATTCCCCGTAGTAATGGGTGACTTGAATGCCCCAAAGATAATGGCCGAAGACAAGGAATGTTGTTTAATGCCCTGAGTAGCTATCTGTCTATCTATCGGC